CTAAATAGAGGAAACGCTGTGATAGCAATCTACCCCTGTTGATTAAATAAAGTTTTCAGGTTCAAAATTCAGAACCTGCAATAAAACTTCATTTGGATGCTGGTATATTAATTTCAATGATTTGGTCAATGAACCAATGCCAAACCAAAACACATGTTTATGTTTCTGTATGCCAATGGACATTTGGCCTAGTAGATTACAGAGTTGGTTAAAATATGTCTGGTCCGTTGTAAAATTTGAGTTCATTTCTGTGGTCTGGTAGAAAAAAAAACCCGACAAAAGGCAAAATGGCGGATAAGACTAGTGAATATTAACTGATACAAAATATTCCATAAACATTGAAAGTGGGATGCGAAAAAAAACTTAATCATGTGGACTGAATAAAGAATTTAGTTCAAAATTTAAGATTGCCATGTACAGAGTCTATTAGTTTATTAAACACCCGAGGAAGGCCGGAGAATATAACAACCAAAACTTGGGTATAAAAGCCAAAATGCTGTCCTGAATTAAGAGGCATATAATAGTGAGTCAAAATCGATTGATCTTTACTAAACTTGGATTCCTTCGCTTTGGCAGAAGGCAAAAATAAGACACGAACGTTTTCGTTCGCTAATTTTCTTGTTTTCAGATTATGTTCTGCTTTGAAAATCAGCATTAGAAATCGCTAGTAAGATTGTATTTCACATTGGCAGTCGTGATCAATGGTCAGGAGTGAGTGTATTGTATAAGAAATCCTCTCCAACTAATTTTTACCAAGAAATGATGACACAACAACTGCTATATTCATTGGATTATGTAAAACGACTAGTATAATAGTATCCCTAGTCTAACTAAATGCATTAAATAATAGTTTTAAATTGGCAGATAGGCCTTATCAATTTACAGTTGAATTGGCTAGATGTAACCGTAAGTTCTATGCCAACAGTTTCTTTTCTCGCACATCTCGCTTGTGGAATTCTCTTTTAACTCCATGCTTTCCAGCCAACTTTGATCCTTAAAAATTTAAATGTCATGTCAATCGTTATCTGCTGTCTTTCTGATTACTCTTCTATTGTTTTCGCTCCTTAGTAAGGTTTCTATTTTCTAATTCTTCTACGCCTAGTAACCCGTTATGTTTTAATGGCTTTACAGCCTTGCTGAGGGTAAATTCGATTGAAAAAAAAAAAGATTTATCTTTAGGTTTGTTAATGCTGGTTTAGGTTAATTTAATTTATTTATTGATTTTCTTGATTTCTCTTCTCCTTTACATTATTATTTGATTAAAAAAACAATGTTTATGAAGTTATTTATGTACTTATTTACTCGATTTACATTATTCGGACTGTTGTTCTCATCTTTGTTGTCATATTCACGACGTTTCGGCCGTTGTACATCCTTGCCATCTTCAGGTGATTGGAATTTCGAACAGAACTCTTTATGTAGCCCACCAGGGTGGATTACTTCTACGCTTTTGTTCACGTGTCCCAGTAGAGAGAATCGTTGGTTGAAGTAAACCAGTGACTTGACCCAAAGAGTTGTAAGTTCAATACCTGGCCACAGCAGAGGTAAACAAAAACTTGGAGAGTTGAGATGCTAAAGGGAAATAACTGAAACTGAGATATGCAGAAGAGGCATAACACATGGAACTAGAACAATCTATCTCGGTGGACGAAATAAACGGTTCAGTTCGAAATTCTAATCACCTGACGAAGGCCGGAGCGTACAACCGTCGTGAATATGACAAAGATCAGGACAACAGTCCGAACAATGTAAATAGTCACAATACCTCATCTCAGAAAATAGACAGATGTTTCTGTAGTTGCATATTACATCATTAAATTTATTTACTTATTTATTTTTGTTCTCTCTGCTTTAGACTGTTATCGGGGTTAATTTTAATTTGATACTTGCTGGGATCCATGTGGATGCAAATATGGCCAACTGGTCACTTCCGGTTTTGAGTGGAGTCTTTTAAGAAAGGGAATTCTTCTCTTATACTAGATTTCATATATTTCAAGTTGAAGAAAAGGTTTCATATATATATATATATATATATATATATATATATATATATATATATATATATATATATATGCCGTCATATGATCAGGCAAATCGACACTTTTTTCACTCACTATTTGACCTCTTCCTCTCACACACGGCAAAAGCTTTGGAGGTTTACGGGATGGGAGCTGATAGATAATTAAATTTTCATACTTTTGACCAAATTGGAAGATCCTCTTCCTCTAGGTTTGTGAATGCTGGTTCTGAAATTTTATTTATTTATTTTTCCTTGTAGATAGGTTAGCCTATCGTCCAGATGACACTACTCCACTTTTTATGAACAGGAGTACAGGTTTATTCCTTGTTTCATATTTATGATTGTGTTTCCGGTTCCTTCTAAATTCTTTTCATTCTCTTTTGTTCCCAGTAGCCCCCTGTGTCTTAGTGACATTATCACATTGCTTGGGGTGAATTGATATAAAAAAAAAATCTATTGCTTGGTGCGTTACGTACAGATACCCATATCTTCATCTCGTAAAGAGCGAGCCGAGCCTAAGAGAACTAGGTGTCCCACCGGGATTCATCATTGCTGGATACAGTCTTGCAATTGTAAATAAATAGCAAGAGGAACAGCACAAAACAAAAGCTAAAAACTGGATGTCAAAATCAAGCAAGTTCTATAACTTATCTCACTGTTATATTAAGCATTAAGAAGTAGGAAAATCTCTTGGAAACAAGGAATGCTTAGCTGCTAAGTAATATATAAATCCTCCTAAGTGGCAGTGAATGATGGATAATTTCCTCACTGCCGAAGAAGAGACAAGGCAAGTGAGATATGGTTCTTTTTTTTACAATGATATTCACCCTGTACAAGGCCCATGAGCCACTCAAGATAGAGAGTTACAGATTAAGTGGGGCTGTGTATGTGAGGAAGATAACGGTTGACTTGGACTTGAATAGGCCAATATTTTAGTAATCGTGGAAGCATCCTCTTGGGAATCGGTTCCACAAAGCGGCGGTTCGTGGAAAGAAGCTGCTTATTCTACAGAAGGACGCTGGGAATATGTTGGATGGCATATGTGAGAACTGTGAAAGTTTTAAGGAAAATTGGAATGAAAAAGAAACTTTTACCAACGATCAGAAAGTTGAAAATTTTGCGACACATAATGAGAAAAGAGGATTTGGTGAATTTGGCACCCACAGGGCATAGAATTCAAGAAGAGCAATAGGAAACTTCGAGTAACCTCCCTGGCGAGCTTAAGTGAATGAATGGCGAGTAATAGGACAAATACTGCTTAGAAGTTGCGGAGTGCCGTGTTCGGTCACGTTCTGAATGGAATATGGTACTTAAAATTAGTGTTGATTTATTTACCGCTACACATATCCTTAGCTTATGAATAAATAATGGGGTTTAAGCGTTATTCGTATTAATGAACTAAACTGCATAAAACGTCAAATAGTTTGCGGGTAGTGTAGCGGATATCGACGATTCAGAGGTATTATATTGCCTCGAGAAAAGCATGAGTCAATCTCTTCCCCATCCCGCTAAAGGTTAAATGGCAGGATACACTTGTTTCTTTAGTCTTGGGTAGCAAATAATCAAGGAATAGGAAAAATCCAAGTCGCGGAGAAGGAAACGGTAAACGACACTAATGTGTCGTTTCCCGTTGCGCTTGGCAATTTACAGATAATAAATACAAATCTACAGAGGGTCATGATCACCTTCCTCCCCGTTCTTTAGCGTTACTGGACTGCAGAGAATAGATTCATAGCCTCACTACGCTAGGTGTTCCTGTTGTGGTTTCAACAGCAACTAGTTTTACTGTGTGGAGTCGTTCGAACAAAGCTAAACCGGTTTTGATTTCATTCTCTTTCGCTTAGAGTGATTGCCAACTAAGGTTAGAGAGCCCGGTCTGCTTTGTTATTTCACCCATAACTGGAGGAGGAGGGGAGACAAGATCGGTTCATACCTTTCTTACAGGTATTTGAGCGAAAGTAAGCACAACGAATTAAGACGGAATTCGAACTCGTCACGCTGATTCCACTTTCATCATCATCATCATCATCATCATTTATTCAGTTAGCGTATTTTGCGCTGCTGTGGTTTTCCATTCTCCTCCATCTCACAATTGTGTTTCATGCTGACATAGTGCAATGGCTTGCCGGCTCCTTTTGCACCAGGGTATGTTGAGGATATCCTGTCCCTCCTCTCAGAAGTGAAAGACGCAGGACCTGCAAAGCAGCAAGCAGTATGAATTCAGAGTTTTTCTTCTCATAGACTGGTTGAAAACCAAGGCTTTAAAACCCAGTCCGTCTTGCTATTTATCGATAGCTGGGGGGAAGAGATCGATTTCTCAAGTGTATAAGCAGGTTAGTGAATGCAATGAATGCTCATTCCATTTTAAATGCCGATAACAGCAATAAAATATCATAATCTCATTTTAAGATTAGAAGCATTATCCGGAGTGTGAGAATGCAAAGACAAAATTCTTCTTTTTTTTTTCTTTTTTTTTTTTTTTTATTTATTTTCACTCTTCGAATCTGTCGGATTTGTTTTTGGAAAACAACACTTACAACAATAGTTAAGTATCCTTTCGTCGCATACGGCCGTGAATAATATATAATACCACTTCTAGACCGCTATCATTATTTCTCCGCACGTGAGGTTTTACAGCCAACCTTCTAAATTTCCTGTCTTAGGCAAATCCACCTTTTTTTCTTCATGACACTTTATTATTATTATTACCTTCCTGAAAAATGACCACCTTTCTATCCCACTCCACAACGATTCCTTTAACCTGATCTTGTTTCTACCCAGTGTCCATTGCAACCGGCAAGCAGTTTGGACGGAGGTCAATCATAAGCGTAATATGATACCCCCAGGGAGACATAACACCTATGCTGAAACAGCCAAGGTAGGCGCGTTTGCCCGGTTAGCAGGTGCCCGGGGCTATACTAGATGTTCGTTCAAGCAGAGAGTGTTTGATTGCATCCACCACCGGCCTTGATGGTCATAATCAGAAATAAGTACAGTGTTGGCCAGAACTGAATCTCATCTTGGTAAGCAATGAATGGGGAATTGCATGAGTAAAGAAAGACAGGTCGTTTGTAATTGAGTAAAAAGTGGACGGTGTAAAAGAAAGAGGAGGAGGTGAGAGGAAGAAAGGGGAAAGGTGAATAGGAAGAAGGTGGAGGTGAAGAAGAAGAAGAAGAAGAAGAAGAAGAAAGGAGGGGAGATGAAGAGGAAGAAGGATTAAGAAAAGAGAGGACAGAATGTTAATGGAAAAAGGGGGAGAAATAAAAAAGATGAGGAAAAACAACGTGGGTGAAAGAGAGGGAAAGAAAACAAAAGAAAATAAATGAAATGCATAAATTAGGGAGAAAATACTATAAAGAAATAAAAAAGAAAGGAAGAATGTAAAATGAAGAGAGAGAGATAAAGTAAAGAAGAAAAGTTTTAAAAAAAAGAAACAATAAAGAAAAGAATGGAAAAGAAAAAGGGAAATTGAATGAAAGGAAACAAAAAGAGAAAATAAAAGACCAAAAAAGGGAAAAAATGAAGGAGTGAAGGAAAACAAAGGAAAGAAAAAAAGAGAACAAAAAGAATGAATATGAAAAGTGGAGAAAAGTAGTAAGAAAAGAGAAAATTGAATGAAAATTGAAAGAAAATATAAGGCAAAACCAGAAAGAAATAAAGAAGAATACGGGAGGAAGAGGAGGGTGAAAACAAGGAAGAGAAGAAAGAAGAGAAGGAGAAATATATATATATATATATATATATATATATATATATATATATATATATATATATATATATGTGTATTTTTATATGCAAGAATGTCTGCACGAGTATATATAATTTTATCTATACTGCAATCATTTTTAATCAAAATAAAAAAAAATACTTTACTAAAAATTACCTTTTATTTGAATATTACATGGTTCTGGTTGTTATTTTAAGAATGCCATTAAGTGGCAGTCGCAATAATTTAGAGATAAGTATTCCAAGTATTTCCTAGTTTATCACCTTTTGTTCTGCTTCAGATAATATTAGCTTCAATTATTATTATTATTATTATTATTATTATTATCATTATCATTATTATTATTATTATTATTATTATTATTATTCCTTTGATTTCTGATAAATACTAATTTCTTTCCGGGTCCCAACCAGAGACCTTAGGTCAGAAATGGCATCATGGCATTTTCCACTGAGGATTTTGGGAAAAAAAGGCTAAGCTAAAAAACAGAAAAGATGGTGATAGAAAATGAGAGAAGACAGAAAGAAGAGAAATAAATGAAGAATGCAGGAAAAGAAAGGAAGAGGAAAAGAATAGAAAAAAGGGAGAAAGAGAGAGATAGAAAGGAAAGTAAGTAACGGATGAAAAATAATCAATGGAAAAGAGCATAGCAAAGAGTGAAGGGTTGAAAAATGTAAGGACGAGGGCGTAATAAAAGAAGAGACACAAAAGAAAAGGTTGAAAGAAAAAGAGTAAAGAAAATCAAAGAATGAAAAATATGAAAAAATCGGAAAGTGTAGAAAGAAGAAGAAGAAGAAGAAGAAGAAAGGAAAAGGTTTGAAATCAAGTTAAAAGGAAAGGAGAAAGAAGAAAAAAAGGAAAAGAGGACAAACTACAGTATTAAAAGCTGATATGTCTTCAGGAGAAGGAAAGTAATGATCAAAAGTATGAATGAGGAATTAAAAAAAGAAAAAATGAAACTGAAGAAATTTCGTTTGAGAATAAATAAATGAAAAATCGAATTTATACGAAAAGATTAAATAATCATAAAGGCACTGACACAAAATACAAAGAAATGAAAGATGAGTGAATTTGGGAGGAAAACGAATAAAGAAAGAAACAAACTCAAAATAGTTCAGTTTTCGAAGAATTAATGCCTTTTTTATATTGAACTATTTTGAGTTTGTGTCTGTCTGCTTGTCTCTCTCTCTCTCTCTCTCTCTGTGTATCTCCTGCTTTCTCTTTCTCTCTCTCTATATCTATATATATATATACATATATATATACAGTGTAACCCGGATATAAGAGAAACCCGGATATAAGAGAGATTTTCTCTGGTCCCAAATTAGAGCCTGTGTTAATGTATATAAAATAGACCAAACCCGGATATAAAAGAAACCCGGATATAAGAGACTTCTTCTCGGTCCCGACAACTCTCTTATATCCGGGTTACACTGTATATATATATATATATATATATATATATATGTGTGTGTGTGTGTGTGTGTGTGTGTATGTCTGTGTGTGTGTGGAGGTGGGGTGTGTACGCAGGTTTCGTTGAATAACAACGAACATTCTTTATAGGGACCACCAAGAAAGATAGAAAAAAAATCAAAACTTCAAATCCATGTTGTCTATGAAATTACTTTCCCAATCTATCTAACATATCGAAGAACATTGATCTCAGAATTAGTTCATTAACACACTGTACCTTTACATTTATCAGATATTAATTGAAATAAATCACCTACCACCAAGTAATACAATGCATTACAGTAATAAAACCCATAAAAAACGATAACAAATACCGTGAGCCTTAACCATAAACACAAATCATGGCCAATAAAATGTCTTTCAATTTAGAAACAAACATGGAAAATTCATCTGGTCGGAAATAATCTTGTCAAATTTATTGGGAACCTTGGTGCCAATAAAAGAATGTTTAAATGCCGCAACCTACCTAGCTATTGTAGGTGATCACACACTTCAATTTTTAACTACGGTCTACCCTTTCTCTGGTGGTCACTTTCAGCAGAACAATGCTCTGTGTCATAAATCGAATCTAGTAGCAGACTGGTTCATAGAACTCAATAATGAGTTTTCCTTTATGAGTGACCTTTATAATCACCGAATTCAATCCCGTAAGCACCTTTTGGATGTGATGGAAAACAGAGATTTGAATACAAGTTGTGTAGAAGAATTGTGAAATGCTATAATAACAGCATGGACCCAAATGTCGAAAAGTTATGTAACCTTGAACTCCTTGATAAAGTCCAAAGAAGAATCAGCAATATTATCTCTCCTGATCTGGCGGCTCGGATTCAGTCATTTACCCAGCGTCGTAAGGTTGCCTCTCTGTTTTTTCCTATAAATACTTTCATGGTAATTGTTCTGATAAGCTCTCCGCTATAAAGAATGAATTGTATATATGGGATTTAGTTAGGACTTTCATGGAGACAATGAGGTATGCTGGTGGATGTAGTAAGAATACGTTGTTTCGGTGTAAGGAATATTTGTGTTTGTGGCTAGCTAAGACAGCAGAAGACCGTCCTTTCCCCCCTTTCCCTATTTTATCCTTGTGCCACATTTTGTCTTCATACCAGAAATAAATATCGCTCTCCGATATGGTACCTAGACTTTTTAAAAATTTAAGCGCGGTACTAGACTGGCGTCGAGATCTCATTAAGTTTCATTTGAGCTGGTTAGACGTAGCCGTAAGTTCTATGCTAACAGTTTCTTTACTTGCATTTCTCGCTAGTGGAACTCTCTTCCGGCTCCATGATTTACAGCCAACTGCAAAAGTTTAAATGCAATGTCAATCGCTATCTATCCTGATTCCTTTTTTCGCTTCACGTTAATTATTAATGTTTCTCTTCCTAATTCTTCCACGTCATGTAACCCCTTGTGTCTTAGTGGTTTTACTACCTTGCATGGGGTGAAACCGATTAAGAAAAAAGAAAAATGGAAAAGAATAATTGTCAAATCTCTGTCAAGAAGAACTGAGGCGATTCTAAAGATAAAAGGGGTTCCAAGCCGGTTCTAGAAAAGTGACCGGTGAGTGCCTAAACGAGAAGAATAAATTATATCATTCAGAGTAAAAAAAAAATAAGATATTAACTAAATAACACATAGAATAGTAAATTTCAGAAAATACAAATTAGAATATATTAATTATATTTAATTGAAAGCTTTAAAATTGTTACAAATATTCGTAACTTTTATTGTGTGTGTTGGATGTTACTCGATCGGTCATCAATTTCTACAGAAGACATTGATCAATTTCCTTGGCATTCGTTCTCTGTCTACCATCGGCACTTTTGCCCGTAGAAAGAAAACTATTTAAAACCAAGGCCGTCTAATGAGACCAAACATTAAATCAAATCAAAGCCGTTTGAATGACAATTAATCAATGTTAACGTCTCTATATTCGTTAGAATCAGAAAAGCTGCCAAACACTTATTGATTTATCGAAGTTGTTTTATTCGTATTTTTCTGCGTCTAAAATAGAATTCCTGTCAACCAAACGGATCTTTGTCGAGGTGAACATAAGTCATATTCTGCGCCAAATGTGTCCTTCTGATTTCATTGTAAAATAAAGGTTGTTGATAAAGAAAGGTGTGAAATGAATAAATACAAAATGTGGAGAAATCTTGACCACAAAAAATGGTGACATTCAAAACACTAAGAAAAGATATGTTTTTTTTTTCATTTACCTATTATTTTTTTATGTGTACTGTTTACTAAAACGCGATTTTCTTATTTTAAAATCCATAAATGAAACTTTTTTTTATAAATCAATTTACCTCATGCAAGGCGATAATGTTATTGTGGTACAAGGGTCTACGGACAGTGAAAGAGAATAATGAGAAGAGACCTTAGTAGAAACAAGAAATAAAACACTACTCATATTCAAAAGATCGGTAGGAGTTTGAACCGGACTATAGGCTAACCTATCCCGATTAAATTTGGTGGCAAAAATACACCGCGCGATTATAGTTTTGTAATAAACTGGGTCAACACGGTAAGAGGGAAAACTGCCACAATCAGTTATGTGTCATGCGTGATACACGCTTAGGCGATCATGTATCTTTCGATACATAACTGACGAGGCAGATTTTTTTCCGCAGTAGATTTCCATTTCTTTCTGCGTTAGGATGGGGACAGAACAAGAGGATTTGGCTCCCCGATTCCTCAAAACGAGCCGCTGACCACTACTCTACCTTAGCATTGTATAAAACCAAGTATTTAAGTAAAGCGAAGATTTCAAAAGCAACTACCAAAGTGTCGTTTGGAGTATGACTTAGAAATTGGCACTTCCCTAAGGGGCATACAGTGTAGCATAGTCAGTTTGACGTGTGGTTCCACATACGTACATGCATGCAAGGACAACATTTTCCGAGAAAGCGATCAAGTAAAAATAGCCACTGCATTGTAAAATAAATTAAAAATAATCGTTACATTCAGATAAAGACTTCATAAAAATTATCAAATAATTTACTGTGGTAGACCAGTTGCCACCCAAGGCTATAGAACCGGGCCTGTCCTTCTATTTAGCTCGCTGGGGGAGGGGGTGAGAGAAGAAAAGGATTCATAACTTTCCCAAAGGTATTAGCACGTAAGTGCATCTAATGGATTGCGACTGGAATTCGAACTCGGCTCTCCGACCCCCGCCCTCAAACCGAGTCGCTATTCATTACTCCACCGCAGAGAATCAAAAAGTAAACTTCTCTTCTCTCTGTCTAATATCTTCTAATCGCCATATTAAGCAAAAGCAGCCGGAATCAGAACTGAGTTTCTTGCTGATTTTGGCATTTTTATGCCAATTTTTAAAAATGTTTTTAAATGGGTTGAAAATCTTCTTTCAAATCCCTATTTGGGACGACCATTGGTGGGTACTTGATGAACTACTGCATAAGATAACAACAAAGTTACATGTTGATAAAACTCCCCATTTCAGCGCGACATATTAAGAAAGGAAATAGTGTATTAACGGGTAATTTCTGACGGATCAATGGATTTTATTTATAATCCGATATTATTTATATTTACTTAAACATTAGGATCTTTTCTGTTAAGTCCCGCCAAATAATGTAAATTTACTTATCACAGATATTAGTTCACAAGAAGAAATTATAAATTTTAAATCAAATTTTTGGCAGTTTTTGAAATTATATATTTAAATCAAAATTTATTTAGCTTGCATCACAACTCCAACCCTTAGAATGAAAAAATGACCAAAAATCATGGAGTTATTCACATTTCGTAAGTGCGAATGATATTCGAGGTATAAACCAGAAATTATTTTACAATTTAAAAAAAAAAATTTAAAAATCTGTTTTTGGATTGTTTATTGGGGCGAGTGTGAATGTAGACACCACACTTGGAAATAGTGCACTCGAGTCACCCACATTTGGGACGATCGCAAAGGTCAACCCAACCAGAGTGCAATGGAATGGTCTCGCTCTGGGAGAATTTGGTGCTTTTTTATTTTTAAGTGTATTAACAGAAAATATCCAAACTTTTTATCGTGGGTACCGAACTAGAGATGTCGATTTCTTAAAGTGGGATCACCGGACTTTGTTTGACTATGACGGGCTTACAGTGGTCTTCCTACTATGGAGACGCAGGTTCAAACATTGCCGGAATCACATTTTCTTTATCAAAAGTCT